ACGAGCCCTGTTCTTCCCCTTGCCTTATGGAGTCTTCGATCTCCAGCTCCGTCACGGTGTTGATGGGCTCCGGCGTGGGGGAATCTTTATTCTTTTCCAGCACTAAGACGCCCCCTTCGATGCCTTGCTCCGAGGAGGAGAGGGGTTTTGCAGACAATAGGTTTTATCTCCATTTGAGCACGCCGCGCGGGAGCGAGCCGCCGGAGTTGCTTCCCCTATTTCCCTTGAGTTCCCCAGTGCTGAGATTTGAATGAATTGATGCATTAGGAGAAGATTAATTGAATTGGGTTCGCTCGGCAACAACGATTTCAAAGTGTGGATCACTGGACCGGCAACCGGCGAGCTCGCTAATTGTTAGGCCGGCCGACACGGAAAGGAAAAGTGCGGTGGAAATTCAAGCTCAAGATATGATTTATTTAAGATTAATGAATCTAGGCTGTATTTGTAATCCTAAAGATTAGTCTTACAAGTGCCACCGGTCAGTATAGGTATAATCCGAAAGATTAGTGATGGACCTCATAATCAAGACTATCTTCCATCTCATCCTCAGAATCAACCTGCTCATCCTCGATTATCATGTTGTGCAATATAATGCATGTCAACATTATATCATTAATTGTGGCATCATCTCAATATCTCAGAGGGCCACGAACGATTTCCCATCTAACTTGAAGAATTCCAAAGGCCCGCTCTACTTTTTTTCGATGTGCTTCTTGACATAGAGCAAACAAGGCTTCTTTGTTTGAGGTTGGATTGCTGAATGTTTTCACTAAAGTTGACCATGAAAGATAAATACCATCAACCAAATAATAACATTGATCATAGGTATGACTGTTTACCTCAAATCGTACTCATGGAGCGGATCCGTTGAGGATACGGTCACTGGAGACATTCCTAGAACATTGGTGTCGTTATTCGACCCAGGCGGGCCGAAGAAAGCATGCCATATCCAGTTGTTGTACGAAGCCACTGCCTCGAGAATGATTGTTGGTGTACTGTTGTGTGTAATCTTTAAGTTTTATCATTATCAAGTGTTGTGTGTAACCTCTGAGTTGTATTATTTGAACTATTATTTGTGTAAACACAACTTAGGGTTATCATTATTTTTCCAAAAAAAATCGGTCTCGGAATTTGAAAAAATTCTATCGGAAAATTTGTAATTAAAAATGAGGAAGAACTATACAAATAATATGAACAAATTATATTAAGATGATAATAAGTACATTTTTAAGTAGGGTTAATATATTTGTATGGCCTGAACTTTTTACATAATAAACATCATGTCCAATCTTTTCGATCTATAACATCATGACCTGAACTATACACCAAAGTAAAGAATTTGGCCAAACCGGAAAATTGACCGTTATCTTGGACGGTCAAACACGTTGACTAACTGTCAACATGCCACGTCACCGCCAAGTTAGCACCTTTCACTTAAAAAATTTATATTTTTCCACCTATTACTATTTATATTTTCTATTTTGAATTTTTTTTTAAATTAAATTTTGAGAATTTTTTTTCAAAATTTATTTAATTATTTTTTCAAACAATGTGGAATCCATGTCATCAATATTGGGTGACTGGATAATGACGTAGCGCGTTGACCGTTAGTCAACACGTTTGACCATCCAAAATAACGGTCAATTTTTGGGTTTGGCCAATTTCGTTACTTTGGTGTAAAGTCCAGGTCATGATGTTATAAATCAAAAAGATTGGCCAGTTGTATTATATGAATCTCCAAAGTAGGCACCTTGAAACTATTTTTACACTGAAAGAACATATTAGGTCGACCTAATCCTAAATGAGGTCGGCCGAAAAGTGCAAGTCACCATGACATGCATGTCACCGTAGGCGCACCCGGATGTTTATTATGTGAATAGTTTAGGTCATACAAATATATTAACCCTTTTAAGTAAACAAAAACTGGAAAAAGGAAGATCCCCAAATTTGAGGATGGTAGCATTGGAGCCAAATTGAAGAAAATGGGAACAATCCCCAAATTTGGGGATGAAGGACCCCAAATTTGGGGTCTTGCATTGAAGTTGGCCTTAGGCTATCCATCTACCACATGGCTCCACCTCTACTATCAGAAGGAGGGAGGGAACAGTTCACATCGCCAATAATAAAACCAGGAAATTGCCATTCGTCGCCCTAATTATGTTAAATTTATTCTAATACCCTTAGTTTATATGTTTTCATTTAAACCCTAAAATAAATCACATAGTCGTTGGAGCCGACCACCTCACAAGAGACTTTGGGAGACCAATGGCCACTGACTACTATGGGGCGGGCATGGGGACTTCGGTAATGGTAGCTCAGCGGGAACTCTCAAACTTTCCAAGCGAAGCAAAACTCCTCAGCTCAAACCATTTCGTTGCGAGTGTGCTAGATTCATCCATCGTTTCAGTTTGGTCACCAGACTTCCGCTTCTTATTAACCCACTCAGCCAAAACAATATTGTCTTGAAACACGACGTGCCCACCAATATAGGTGTCAATCGGGCGGGTTCGGACGGGTTCGGGCTGGGTTCAATCGGGTTCGGGTTCAAACGGGTTGCGGGTTAGTCGGGTTGCGAGTTCATCGGGTTCGGGTTCATCGGGTTCGGGTTCAAACGGGTTGCGGGTTAGTGGAGTTGCGGGTTCATCGGGTTCGGGTTCAATCGGGTTGCGGGCAAATCAGGTTGCGGGTTCATCGGGTTTTGGGTCGGGCGGGTTGCAGGCGGATCGGGTTTCGGGTTGTTCGGGCCAGTGCATCAAGTAACTTAACTCATTACTGATTACCAACTTACACATTTTATTACACTAATTTAAAATATTTTCTCAACTTTTTAACCAATTTATTTCTACCTCGTATATATATACTTTATTTTTTTGAAAAAAAAAACTAGTCAAAATGTTAAATCAATTTGTATGACTTGTAAATTTGTTATGTAATTAATCATAATTGGTAAAGTATTATAGCTAATAGTAATGGTGATATCAATATTTGCAACCAAAAGACAACATTAATTGTTTATTTGATATTTTAGTATTAATTCAGTAGTAATTTGATTAAAGTATCTCGTTTAGTATAACCATGCAAATCTGGTATTTGGCGTGTGGTATTTGGCAAAAGCATAGTGATAAAAGGAGTTATTTCGAAATAACTCATTGCCCAAATAACTTCAGTAAACTGTTGCCAAACGAATTATCCTAAAAATTGTTCGAATTATCCTAAAAATTGTTCGAATTATCCTAAAAATTGAACCATTAAAGATTAGCTATCAAATTTAGTAAAATTATTGTGACTTCAATCATAACTTACTCAATAGCATATATCCTATACACTTAGCCTTACCCTCAATCAACAAAATTAAGTTAGTATATGTTGTTGATTGTATACCCTAAACCATCAATACATTATACACTAACCACATAACTTATACCCTATAGCCTAACCATATGTCTTTGAGTTGTGATTTTGCTAGTATAGTTAATTTAAAAGTGAAATTCATACTTTGATTTTCAAAACATAGATAAAAAGTGATATTTGCTAATTGTTATACTCTAACCATATATCCTATACTGTACACCACATACCTTGTATCATAACCACGCACCATATGTACCTTATACCCTATACCCTAACCATATACTTTATATCCTAAACAACGAACCATCAAAGATTACTTATCAAGTTTAGTATAAATTGTTGTAACTAATGGTTAATTTATTTATTATCCCATAAACAATTACATATATATATATAAGCCTTCAAAGCATATAAGAATAATTTTAACTAGTCATGCCCTCCATATAAAAGTTAAAGATTCATATTTCACAAGCTAAAATTATGAAAAACCAAAAAATTGAAAACACCAAATTTGTTTCCTTCTTTCTTTTCACAAAAATACTAAAATTTCTCTCCTTCTTTCTACTTCCATACATTAGAAAACTCAATTTTCCCTCATCTTTCTCTTCCATAAAATTGAAAGAACCAAATTACTCTATTCTTTCATTCTACAAAAAGTTGAAAACTCAAAAGTTTCCCTCCTTATTTCTCTTTCATAATCAAAAGAATCAAACTTTCCCACTTCTTTCTCTTCCCACATATCAAAACCACCACAATTCCCACTTGTTTTTTTTCTAAAAAATTCAAAGAACCAAATTTCCCTCTTCTTTCTCTTCCCAAAAACTTGAATACACCAAAATTCCCCTCTTCATTTAAAAACATCAAATTATCAAATACATTACTTTACTTTATTTATATTTAATTTATAATTTTATTGAATAGTTAAATTAACCAAAATTTTAATTTATATATTATATTAATATTATCATGATCTCAAGTGACCTTCATGTTTCAATTTTTATAATTTTCTTAAAATACATAATGTCAAGTGAGTTTCCTATTTTTTAAATTTCCTATACGATATGAAAAAATAAGTTTACTTAAGTTTAGAATGAAAAACTTTATTTTGAAAAACTGTGTATTGTATATTTTTATAATTATTCAAGTCAGTCGAGTTGCGGGTCAATCAGGTTCGGGTTAATCGGGTTGCGGGTCAGTCGGGTTGCGGGTTAGTTGGGTTGCGGGTCAATCGGGTTACGGGTCGAGCGGGTTACGGGTTGTTGACTTTTAGTCAATTCGGGTTGCGGGCGGGTTGATCGGGCGGGTTAATCGGGTCGGGCTATGTTTTGACACCTATACCCACCAATTGAAATTCAAAACTATCATTTGCAGAGGAATCCATGATGAATATGCATATAGAGAAGATCATAAACTTCACCCACAAATTACCTCCTTTACCAGAGTGATGGTTAAAGAGGCAGAGCATTACACGATTGCTTGATGTCCGTTTTCCTTTCTTTACTCTGAGGAGTCAGGTCCTTTGCTTTGTTTTGTGATCACTTGCGGTACGGATCCGGTAACCTCTGAGCCAATCTATGATCATCCTTGCAGTCAGACCCCAATTAGGCGTCTGCAGTTCCATAACGATGTCGTCTTCCTCAATTTCCACAATGCATGCTCATTTGAGGCCTATCACGTGCCTGGTATTCAGTGATGACGATTCGCTTCTGGTTTCGGCGGCCGAGGATGGTTGTGTTAGAGTCTGGCCTCTTTTGACGTACTTTCTCGTTCTCTTCTTGTGGATTTTGGTCAAAAGGGTGTACCTTTTCCCTCTAATTGACAAGGTTGCTCCCTCCTCTCCGTGAATTAGGGTGGTTGGTGTTCAACAAAGAGATCAAGCAAGTAATCTCTACTTGCATAGCTTTGCAGAGCACACTTTGCCTATAACTGACTTGGTAATGGGACACGGGGGTGGGAATGCTGTTATAATCTCAGCTTCCGAGGACAGGAGTTGCAAGGTTAGATTTGAAATTTATTGATTACATTCTTCTTTTACGGCTGCTGCAAATCGTCATATGGCATCCGGTTCTTGTCAGATATGGAGCTTATCTAAGGGCGTTTTGTTAAGAAGTCTTGTGTTTCCCTCCATAATCAATGCATTAGCTCTGGACTCTTGGGAACTAGTGTTCTATGCTGGTGGTAGAGACGGAAATGTATATACTGCTGCACTAAATGCTAGTACCTTGGACAAAAGTGATTGGCCTCACATTATAGGCTCTTTTCCTAGTCAAAGGTCAGTAATTTCTTTCCCTTGCATTGGCTGTTTCTTTCCCTCACCCGTTTCATTTGATTCCCTTTCCCAGAGAATGTTGGTTCAAAGTATTCTGGCTTACCACTTTGTTGTTCATTGTTTTGAGCAGCAATGCTGTGACTTCCTTAGCATACAGTGGCAGTAGGAACAAGTTGCTTGCTGGATTGGATGATGGATTCATTCGAGTTTGGGATCCCAAGACACGTAACTTTGTTTGCACATTCAAACAAGCAAAAGGTCTGTTTGCATTATTACCCGAGCTGCGTTCAACTATTTTCTATGTTGGCTTTGTGAGTTGTTTTTTTTATTTATCTTTGACCTGTCTGATTGTTATCTGATCTTTCATGAGGCAGGTCCCGTGAATAATATCCTAGTCATGAAGCGACCTCAATGCGTAAATCCTTGGATGTCAGCATTTACTTTACTGCTTGATAAAGGAGGGCCGAAATCATTGCTACCACCTCCCAAACTGCAGAAATACCCAAACTTGACAGATGACCTCTCACTCACTCATGCAGTCATTAACCTGCCGCGGATTTACAATAATCCTCTCGCAGTATGTTCTTTCACCCTTCAAATGATTGACGGTCAACTTAAAGGACCTGAGGTTGGTAACACTTTGTTCTTCTTGATTCGTTACCCTGGTTCACCATAAAATTCTTTCGTTACCCATGACAAATAATCTGCCTGTGTTGCTGTATCCTGTTGCAGCAGAATGATTCTTCAGTGGTGGCGAAGATTGAAGTGGAGAAGCTGAAACATGATTGTGCAGAGTATAAGCAAATGCTTGATAAGTGGAAGAGGAGGTATGATGCTCTGCATGAATTCTGCATGGACGAGTTGTTGGCGGGAGATAGACCCCCCAAAAGGTTGGTCAGGCCTTTGAGTAGTGATCACAAAAGTAAATCATTTGGGGGAAACTCGGGCTAGAGTTTTTATAGTAGTAGTTTGTTTCGCTTCATCTCTCGTCTGATGATTGCAGTTTATTTACAACAAGTTATGCTCGTGTGTTGAGAGGAAATGTTGTTGGCAGGAAATAGAACCCCCTAAAAGGTTGGTCAGGCATTTGAGTAGTGATCTTTGAGTAGTGATCTCAAAGGTAATTCATTTGGGGAAAACTCGGGCTAGAGTTTCTATAGTAGTACGTTTCGCTTCATCTCTGTTCTGGTCATTGCAGTTTATTTACATCAAATTATGCGTGTGTTGAGAGGAAATTTCTGCCTATCGCCAAATTAATATGTGAAGATATATGACTTTTTACCAGTGAAAATACGGTATATATAAAATATGTATGGGTATTTTGGTTTGTGTCTAAACTAATGCTATCTTTAATAGTACATTAACTATTTTAAAAATAAATAAACATACAAAAGAATAATGAAATGAATAATTTAATTTATTAAATATGAATATTAAATGTGTAATATGGGCTTTATACTTTTATACATGTTTAGTGCCAGAGCTATTAAATGAACAGAAGAAAATGAAACGTCTTGATAATAATATGTATATGGAGATTTTAAACAAATAAAATATGTATGGGTACATTTCGTATATTAAATGGAGTTTACTAACTATATATAGTTATGAAAGTGAGTAAAACTATAGATGCAAGTCCCATTTGTGACTGTCCAAATCCATTTAAGTGCGTTTGGAGGTCAACGTCCACTCGCAGAGCAGTCTGCCTCGAGGCATGCCCCATTGAAGATGTGTAGGTGGCATTGTCATAATAGTACTAGGTGTTAGAAATTTCTTTAAGCTTGACATGATCAACTGTTGTACAGCGAGCATGAATGCGATGCGCAATCAGCAGTGAGACTCATGTTTGTTTGAAAGATTTAGGATTGTGGAAGCTCGGTTTCAGAATAGAATAAAATGAAAAGGATATCTAAGCATTGTTTGAAATAAGGCGGGACGTTTGAATTTGAACTAAACTAACCAAACAAAGAATCAAAACTATGTACGAGGGATATCACTAGGGAAGAGTTGGTGTTGGCAAGACTTCAAACCACCTTTTGGTAGTTGCTAAAGGCTCTAAAGGTTCATGTTATAAGAGATCAGATTGATTCATAACTCACTCCACGAAGATACCTAAACTGAGCTCTAACTCAATGATCATGCAATTAGAGCTCTTATCAACTAAATGGAGGGACTTGGTATGAATTCTCACAACTCCAACTACCTAAGTGATGCATTTAAACTAGGATTTCACTAATGAAACTGCATCACTCTTCACGAGATAACCTCATTATGAAAGGATCAAGTAATTCCTTGATCCTCTCTAAAAAAAGTAATTCCTTGATCCGATCAACCGCGTAATCATCATCTATCTAATGATGGCCACCCTAGAGATTGTGGCGATATCACCTCATCAATCTCCAAAACCTAAATGCACCCAACTTGAATTCCAATTCATGCTATCACTTGATAAACATAGAGTACGAGGAAGTCATGTGAGACTATGATCAAGTCACCCAAAAAATCTCCCAATCCTATGGTGGGTCAAACTTCGAAATTGGGAAAAATTCACAATCACCACAAATAGCATCCAAGAACTATGCATCATAATAATCATAGATATAGAATTAACAGCAAATCAATATACCTCAATCCATACAACAAAATTCTTATCAAACATCTACTTGAGCTCTACATCTAACCAACCCAAGGGTTGAGTTCATATTAAGTGAACTTGGAATTAATTGGTACTTATTGACTTATCACTGCAATCTCAACCAATTCTTCCCAAGCATCCTTTTTAATTTATCATTATAAATTTTCTCCTTTATAGTGTACTCCCCGGACAAAATGTGATGTCTACAGTTTTCCACAGTGGCAGATACATTCATGTTTATGGGTGTCCCGGGACACCCCTAAAATTTGGAATAATAATTGTCCAACCTCTAATAGTAGTTTGCGTATAGATTAAAAAAAATTAAGTGGTAGCGTGACACCCTTAAAATTTGGAGAAATCATTAATCAACTTCCTGTAGTAGTTTATGTATGAGTTGTAATAATATTTATGTGATAGTCTATGTGATTTGAACTTGGGACAGTACTACTACTATTAGTAAACATATTTTCAATTAAACTTTGTTTTGTTTTGTTTTAGATACAAATATAATAGTAAAAGGCTATTTTATCTGAAAGCTAAACATCACCCTAGTTTTACTGTTATCGCCCTAACTTAGAATATATAATTACTAGATTATCCTTCCTTAACCAAATAAAAAAATCGGCTTTAAAATCTCTAATGCGCTATCTTCGTCAGAAGAAAGCAATTAAACGGCGCCGGCGAAGAAAGCAATTAAATGGTCCCTTTGACGGCGCCGGTGCCAGCGCGACCCCCAGTACTCCAAACCAACTATGGTCACCTGCACTCCAAACGACTTTGCCGCGAACAAAGACAACCAAAAGATCCACTGTCCTGCCGCCGTCGTGGTCCTCCAAAAGCTCACCCCGCTTATTTTCTATTTATACCACCACAATTAGTAAAACAAGTTGTAATTATTTTCTGCAGTCATGGAGAACCATTAAAGCTCCAAAGAAGATGAAAAGAAGAAATCATAATCAAGCTTTTCTTGTAGTTTCTATGAAATGCTGGTCTCCATTTTTCACAATTGTCGGAAGTGGGCAGTGATGGCGGCAACCGGTGATAGCAGCAACGAGTACCGGCAGCGGCAGCCGGCAAGTAGTGATGGGTGCTAATGCCAACAAAAATGAAAGGGTATAAAAGTAAAATCTTTCATTAAGTTAGGGCGATCTATATAAGCTAGGGCAACATTTAGCAATCCCCTTTCTTACCCCCAATTATTTTCAAAACCTAATGATTAAACACAATTACGGGCTACCCTTGTCTAGTAAGATATGTCGAGAGATATTTTTTGAGCAGTGTAGACATCGAATGTTATTTTACTAGTTTTCATAATACGAAACACATATGAACTTTTATTGTCACCTTTACTAGTTGAATAATTATTAATTATTATATTTCATATTTAATAATAATTTAATTAAATTTTTGGGAGAGAACACCCCTATGTAAACTTTCTAGATCCACAACTGGTTGTCCCCCTTTGTATATCTTTGTATAAAGAGTTATACAAAGTTCCTATAAAGACACCACATTTTTATAAAGTAGCATGATGGTCGTGTTAGCATCTCCAAAGAGAGTGGTTTTTAGGGTGACGTAATAATTGTAAGCAATCTGGTGTGTTAATGATAGTGTTAACCGATGTGGAAAATTTCAAACTCTTCATAGTATGAAAGTGGATGTAAAATTTTTCGTGCTTGTTGGCAAGAATGCGGTATTGAAAGGTAGATGCTCCTCAGCTCCCTGAGATATTGGACGATAGGGGTGCTCCTTAGCTCCGTGAGGTATTGGAAGGTAAGGGTATTTCTCAGCTCCCATAAGGTTGTGAAAGGTAGGGGCGCTCCTCAGCTCCCGTTAGAGTAAACAAAGACCCAAATATAGGATATAACAAGACATTCGTCATTGCCAAATATTTTTTTTTATGATACGTTTTGAGGCGTTCGTCATCGCCAATTGTAAATATGTTGACGCATTTTTAGGCATTTTTCATTGCCAATTGTAAAATTTGTTGACGCATTTTTAGGCGTTCCTCATTGCTAATTGTGGTTTTATTTACGTATTTAGGCGTTTGTCATCGCCAAATGTAATTTTGTTGACGCATTTTTAGGCGTTTGTGATCGCCAAATGTAATTTTATTGACGCATTTTTAGGCATCCGTCATCGCCACATGTAATTTTGTTGACGCATTTTCAGACTTACATAGCCAAATGTCTTGGTGACACATTTTTAGGCGTTCATCATCGCTAAATGTTTTTGTTGACGCATTTTTAGGCATTTGTCATCGCCAAATATTTGGGTGACAGATATTTAGGCGTTCGTCATGGCTAAATATTTTGGTGACGGATTTGAGGCGTTCGTCCACACCAAATGTAGTTTTGTTGAGGTATTTCCTAAGGACATGCCTAAAGCGAATGTAGTGACTTGCCCTAATTGTAGATGAAAAGGTTGATATTGAACTTATGAAATTCTGAAGTATGTTATTTTGCATATGGTCCTTTAGTTGGACATTTGAAATCCAGATAAATGTTTAACTTAACTTATGATGATGTCGTTCACTGAGTATCAAGATGATTTTTAAAATGATTGTATGATGAGCCATGTCGATGAATATGCGTGAATGTCATGTGAAAATGTAGTATGATGCATGATTGTCTGGTTACAAAATATGTTTGTTTTTTTATGTTTTTTTCCTGTATTCCTTTCAATTTATCATCCACGAGAAATTGTCTCGTTCTTTACCGACTTGATCCTTAGTACAAATTCTTGATTATGTGCCCCCAGCCCCATGGTGAAGAGACAAAGATGTTGATTATTTTTTCTTTGATGTATGTTGTTTGGTATATCCATCCTCATCTTAGGATTCGGAATAATATGTTTGGCCAGGTGGCCTACCCGTGGCGGTGTTTCTTGCGATGTAAGCAATGTCGTGCTTGGTTGAGAAGATTTATCATTCTGAGGTATTTATGTTGATGTTGGTTTTGCTGAGACATTGTGTGGTACAACGTTTGCTATGTTGCTCAAAGTATTCATGGTATATCGAGTTGTTCCTTCTAGTCGAGTCATTGAAGGGTTGATTGACCGTTCGGTTGGATTCAATGAATTGTGAAGGCTTCGAAATCTTCGATATTTCTTCATCTACCTGTCATTCAGAAATCTACTTCCCGAGTACTTCGTAGTTCCAACCTTCCAGGATGCGTTATTCTTGTCACCAAAGATCTATACTCACTTTCAATTTTTCGAAACAAGAGTGACTCTTATCAACCTCTACTTAGGATGAATGCAACAACATTTGAAAATTCTTGTTAATAATGGAAACTCATTTTATATATCAAAACTTTGCTTGAGAGAAGTGTGTGCAAAATTGTTTTAGTAAATCAAGCCATGAGAGTATCCATATGCCTCGCTTTTCATTCTCACTATTGATTTCGCTCTCACTCATTCCTATGGGTGCTCTGAGTTTACGACACATAAGCTACCATTATGATTCTGGTTACCTTGAGATGTCTCCTTTTATGCTGATGGCCAACTGTGTTTTTTGTGAAGATTTACTCAATTTGGAGAACTTGGTTTGATCGATTTAGGAGATCTTCATGTGATTCCATCGTGGAAGTTCTTCATCTCCCACGAAATGAGGCTTTGGAGAGTCTTCTTGTTCTTGAAATATTGTTTATTCAAATGAGTGGCGAATATGTGAAATCTTGAAC